CTTCCATACAATGTTTTTGCAACGTTTTGTTCTAAATGTGAATTTGCGTGAACCGAAAGAATTGATTGGTGAACTGAATAATGTTTGCATCTCTACTTCACAGTTTCTCTGACCTCTGCAGGTAAAAACACTTCCATCTGTTATCAGTGCATTCCTCCGGCGGAGCCTGGTATCTCTGAGAGCTTCCTCCTCCTTCAACACGATGAAGATCTTATTCTTCGTGTTAAACTCCTGCAACAGGCCTATAAACAAGCCTCAGACTCGCTCTAACCTGACAGATGTGATGGATTTCTAATCCCGCGTCCTGCTGACGGGTTCATTCCTACTCTGGAATAACTTGTGACTGGATTCCAGCGTGTAAATTCATCCGCCGGCGGAAAGCTCGACACTGTTTTGGCTCTCGGTGTCAGGCGAGGAGGAGATCTCAGTGGAGAGGAGCCTCTCTGAGTGGGAGGCGATGAGTGGCGGCGGCTGGCATCGAAACCAGGAACACATTCTGGGTTGTAGGTCAACACTCCCTGAGCCCGATAATGGATCAGTGGCGCTCCTCGCTCTGACCTCTCCTCCGTCTGGACTGAGCGAGGAGATCAGCAGGAATGAGGAGCTCTTTTGTTCCAGACGACCTGGAGGTTTAATCCTCCTTCGGCCAAATAGGCAAAACAGACGGTTTTTAAAGGTTTAAACCTTTTTAAAACTATTGATATTCAGGAGTTGAGCTTCCGGGATAAAGTCCAGTTTCTGACAACCTGGACGTTATTGTTACAGCTTTGGAGCTGATTCCTGTCAGTAATGATGTTTGTCTTTAAAATATATTTGTGATCGTCACAAATCCCCAAAATAAAGATTTCAAAGTGTTTTAAAGTCACTAGAAGCACATTCATGACACACAAACAGAACCCAACACAGTCACATGGGTGCGTCGGACTCTTGCAGACTTTTACCGTTTTATCCGGATGAGTTGTGTTTATTTTATGTCGTATTTATAATCATTTGACAGATTATTTAGTACTTTAACACATCCTGAAGTTTAATTTAGCAAATTAATAAACAAATCAAAATAGGATTATTAATATCAACTGAAGTAATTACAATTTAATGTAAAATAATAAAGTTTAATAGTTTTAAAATTACACTTTTGTACTGCAACATTTATAAACTGATAAAATAAAAAGTATAATATTTTTTAGTAAGATAAAGGACATAATGTGTTTGCAGTTACGTAATAACGAGGGCATTGTAAGACCCTTTTAATAGAAATAAGGATAATATAAATCTGTTACTGTTAACAATGCACAACATCTGTTAAAAGTCTAATTAAACTGAAGTCTTTCCACATTTGTACTAATTAGCACCTGGTTTTGATCGAGTTGTTGTTTACGACAAACATTTCTTTCTGTTACGTTGTCTTTTTAAAATGACGTTAATCTGAAAAGGGTCACCCTTCATACAGCTCTCTACTTGTGTTGTAACGTCAGCTAATGGCTAAAATTTAAGTAAAAAATGAATACATACGGGGAATCTATGTTAAGCGTATGTTTTCAAACACAATCTCTTCCTCTCCTCTTGGGGCAATCGCAGCATCCCTCGAGCTCAAATTCTAAAAGTTTTAAACAACAAAGCAGATAAATAAAAACGACGTAGAGACGTTTTGAAGGAGATAACCTTTAAACAGAAGCAAAATCTCCTGAATCCTGTTGATTTCAACCGTTTTGGCTGAACCCTTAAAATTCAAACCCCATCAGATTAAAACAAATATTTCTCTAGAAGTTTAAATACTCAAGTACAAGTACCTCAAAATTGTACTGAAGTAGAATAAGTAAAAGTCCTTCCTTCAGACGTGACTAGTTTGTTTGAAACCGAAACTTTTTTGTTATTTTATGATTTTGATTCAGCTGTTTTTTGTCCTCCTTACAGGGTATCTCTCTGTTCCTGCTCTGATTTCATTGTGCGGTACAATCCGAAAAGCTGTGAGTTTAACTCTGTAAATGCAGCTGTGAAAACAGCCTCTGATACCCAAAGACATTAAGAGACACTTCACCTCTTAAATCCTGAAGCAGCAGCGGAGACGACGGTGGCGGTGGCGGCGTTTGTTTTCCATCCGTACCTGGCAGCTGCAGATAAAGAGGCTGTTTGCTCTGAGAGTTTGTTTCTCAGCTGATGGACGGGAGGCGTTTGTTTTCCAGCAGGTTGGAGGAGATAAAGCGGTGACTGTAATGTACGAGGACGGTTTAATACAGGCAGCTACTAATCTGATCAATATTTAATCAGCTGATTGATTTACTATGGTTAAAAGATTTACTGATGCGAGTCGGGCATCGATTCTAATCAATAAAATGTACGATAGAAAGGTTATTATGCTAATAGACTGAGGCTGAACGCAGCATAGTTTATACACTGATGATTATTGATTATTGATTGAATATAGAACATAGTTCTAGAGTTTATACCCTGTTTAATGAGATGTTACAGAGCTATAAACACTCGGAGGATAAATGTTTGAGTCATGGTTGGATCTCCACTCTGGTGTAAATCATTCGAACGAGTTCAGCCAAAGAAACGTCCCCCCGCTGTGAAGTGAAACACATTTGCGTCTTCCCGCCGTTCCTCAGCCAAGAACCTGTGATGAAGATTTAAAGGTGAAGGAACCACAGGGAGCGTTAATCTGCAGCGTCCGAACCACGAACGCCGTCGCTCTGCGGTCCAACACTAACACACGAGCACATGTTTCTTCTTCACTGAGCCTGAGGTGGAAATCCACTGCGGCATGTTGGGAAATGTATTTATTGATCTATGATCAGACATATAGTATTAATATGTGTGTTTTCATTAGTTTATAATCACCTGATTATAAGGATAATTGTGTTTTGGTTTTGTTTTGAGCGGGTCCTCTTGTGTCCGCCATGTTTCTACAGTAATTCTACATTGTGACACTTTTACTTCTGTTATTGATCTGAGGACTTCTTCCACCACCGATAGTAGATTATTGTGTTACATAAAACTGCCAGAGGTCATGAATTAACCTGTAAGAACCCATGGTGACACTTTAAATATCCTTGAATCTTCCATATACAGCTTTATGCTTGACCTTAACTCATTAAGTCCCTAAGTGACGTCTACAAAACATCATGGTGGTCATGTGACTGTGACAGGAAGGATTGATTGGCTTGCTTTAGTTATGACTTTACTCTAAACCAAACTGCCCGAAGTAATCGTGTTAAAACCCACTTTAGTCGCTGATTTAGACACAAACTAATTGGCAGTTATTGATCCGCTCTGTCACCTTTACACATACAGGAGAGAACTGGTGCAGCCCAGTCCTGATATCAGTGATTGATTGGATATCAGGGTTTTATAAGCAGTTGTTGTGAATGTACGAGTGTTTTATTTTGGAGGAACCTGTTCAGCTCTTCACTTTCTTCTTTTTCTGTTTGTTTTAGAGCGTCTGAGTGTTTGAAGGTTGCGTTCAGGTCAGCCTGCGTTCGTTGGAAACCGCAGCTCCGTTCTTTTTTGTTGTTTCTTTTACGAGCACGAGCGGCGGAGGGGGGCCCATGAATTCACTTCCCAGAATGCCCTTTTGTCCGACGTGCCACCAAGCAAGACTTACCGACACTCCAGGGGTTGAATGGTGATGAGTGGGTTACCGCGGCAACAGCGGCGTGTTGAATGTGTGTTGAGGGAGGGAGGGAGGGTGGGCGGAGACAAAGACGTAGAGTTTGTTTGTCGAAGTGTGAAGAGCAGAGAGAGACAGTCAAATAAACAGACTCGAATGTCAGAATTTACTTTAAAAATCAGGAGTTTTCTCACTTTTTCTGTCATTAAACGACAAAAATTTGCAAAAGATGAAGCCTTCGAGGAGGGAAAATGCGGCTGTAGCGTCTAATCTAATGGAAATATTCATTATTTTATAAACCTGACTACAAAAACTCAAACTTTAGGTTCCTTTCTCTCTTCTTTTGTATATAACATAGTCAAATTCTTCCTGCAGGAGAAGAGTGAAAACATGTTTTCCATCGAGGAAACCCTTCAGAGCCGCTCTTTGCTCTTCTTTCAATAAAGAGTGTCTTCTGTTAAAGACAACGGTCAACAAATATTGTAATTTATGTACATTAAAAAGAAAATTTCCCTCTTCAAAACACTATCTTTGATATTTGACTGTCGGCAAAGCCGGGCTAACTGTTTCCCCCTGCTTCCAGTCTTTATGCTAAGCTAGGCTAACTCCCATCTGAGAGCCAATTGTGTTTTTTTTGGTTTATAAATGAATACAAGAGGAGGAGGCACCAAAACAAATGATTATTAATCAGAATGATGTTATTGTTATACACATATTATGGTCACACTTCTGCAGATATTATTGATTATTTATATAGTGACTGTTGACTGTTGGTGCTCTAGAAACAATATTTTTTCATATTTCATGTATATAATTTAAATTATATAGCTGTACATATGTGCTAAAAGTGGCTGAATTATAAATCCCTCTCACTCTCAGAAAAAAACTGAGCTGTTTGCTTGTGACCGTTTGACGACAGAGAATAAAATACTTTGGTATTTTTATTGGGTTTCACTCGTGCCAACAGTAATGCATCTAACATTACTGTTGGCGACATTAAACTTCTTTTTAGTCCTTTTTACAAGTCAAACTTTATTCGTATCAGAGCTCGCAGTAGAGATAACAAACAACCTCCTTTGTTTTCTTCCTGTGTTGTTCTGCGCTAATCTGGAGGGAGATTAAAATGTTGCATTCAGGTTCAGTACTGGATTTATTTTGTGATATGTGGGTGGCGGTGGTTGTGGATGTGGTGGTGGTGGGTATCGTCTTTCAAATCCCCCCCTCAGGGAAGACCACATGACCCGGCATAACAGAGAAAGGCAGCAGCAGAGAGATGTTGGGCCCCGCCGGCTCTGAGCTCTTCAATGAAAACCACATGTAGGACAGAGGGAGGGAGGGAGGGAGGGAGGTGGGTGAGGAGGTGGGTGCAATGACTAAAAACCCAACCTCTGAGACAGAGAGGAGGGAGTCTCTCGGAGCGCCGCTGACATTCCCAACAAGCATTGCAGGGGAGAAAACTGTGTGTGATACACAGCTCATAGAGAGAGCGAGAGGGATTGTGGGAGTGTGTGAGTGGACGTCAGTGTCGAGGTGAAGAACAACAAGAAGAGGAGAGAAAGTTTGGCTGGTGTGATCTGTTTTTGTTACTACCAGAAGAATAAGAGGCAAACATGTCCAACGCTCTGCTGAGGAGAAACTCCAGCAAACAGGGTTTACAAAACCTCATGAGGTATGTGCTCCAGCTTATATAGATTATATATATATATATATATATATATATATATTTAAACACCTTTAATGTGTTTTGATATTTCTGAGAGTGTGTTTGTGTGATTAAGACGTCTGAATGGGAACAGTGGGATTACTGGGGGAGTGTTTTGGGTCACGCAGGGAGTATTTGGGGGGAGATTTTGAATTAATCACAACAAAGGAGCAGATATGTGCTCAGTAATCTTTATTATTCTCCCTTTAAAACGCAGCGTGTTAAACATAATTAGTGCTTAATGATGCGGGAGGTGTTCGGGGAGAAGTGGGAGGTTTCTTTTTTTCCTCGAGGCAGCGCCGGACGCCCCGAGGCTTCGGGGAAGTGGTGTCGGTGACCTGTGTCAGAGGTGAAAGGTCACCTGAGTCAGTCTTTTGTTTTGCGGCGCGTCCTGTCTGAAACAGATATTCGGTTTCCTCCGGTGTCGGTGGTTCGTAACGGAGGAGATAACGGTTCATTGTGCTGCACCGGGGAGGATTTCTGTGTCAGATGTTATAAATAAAGACGTTCAGCATCAAACTCAAGTTGTTAAAAGTTGTTTAAAAGGCAGAAAACTGTTCTTAGGTTAATGTTTCTGTCAGGAATGTGGATAAAACGTCATTTTTGATCCTGATGCTGTCAGATTGGACTGTTATTTGTCTTAAAGGAGCGAGATAAGTGACATTTTAGATGAAAATGAGTTATATGTGGTAGCTGAAATGGGCCGGTATCGGTGAGGATGGTCGTACTCACCGCTGAGACAATAACAGTTAAGAAATAATTGCGTATTTTGATGCTTTGACGCCCCAAAAAAGTTCAGTTTTTCTCTGTAGTTTGTGAGGAAATCCTGAACACACAGCTTGTTAAAAAGGATTAAAAACGCCAAAATAATTAGTGTTGTTGTGCTGAATTAGCCCTCTGGCACCTTCTTTTGGTCCGATTTGGGCACTCGTTATATATCGAATGAAAGCTATTAACGAGCTCTTTCTTTTGCCAAATGGTCACATTGTGAACTTTAAACCGATCCGGAGTTATTAATTAAAAACCAGAAGACCTGACGCTGAATACACTCCAAGTATTAAAGGGACTAAATCTGCACTCTTGACGGCTCACTCATTATTTGTGTTGAAGCGGGACAGAACATGATAGACATTTATGTAAGCGCTGAAAACAACAATAATGTTATAATTATTATTTTAATTCTGGCCCCTTTTAAAAATGTGAAGCTCCAGGTAGCAGCCAGTTAGCTTAGCACTTTAGTATATGAAAGAACAGCTGTTACCACCTTTGTCCAGTGTTCGTGCTAAGCTAGGCTAACAAACTGCTGGCTGTAGCCTTATACTTAGACAGATATGAGAGGTATTGATCTCGTTGCTCCAGTCAGGGTGTAAATCTCACTCTCTAAAGAAAGCTGATTCAGGGCTTTACGTTAGCGCTCTCAGCGGAGGCGCTGCGATCAACGAGCTCGGGTGTAAACGCTGAGTCACGGCGAGAGCAGAGGTCGAGGCGGCGTGTTTAGGAGAGCAGATAACAGCTGGAGGAGGAGGCGGCGGCGGTGATTCAGTCCACTCAGCAGATGGCATCAGTCTGGCTGACAGCGGCGGTGACATCACTCCCAGAAACAGCGTGACGTGGACACGAACCCGTTTACATCCCTCGTCCACATCACACAGCCTGAATCAGTCTGCATTGTTAGGCTCTGAGCTGTTTCACACAGGCTGTGATTTGTTCCACTTTATTTGGTTTATTCTCGGGAGATAAATCTTTTAGGGACGTTTGTAGACGCCGTCCGACAGATCCTACGAACGGCGAGACTTTCCTTCCTTCTTACAGAATCCAAACATCTTCCAAACTCTCTATTCTTGCCTTTCTTTTTATTAAAACATAAAAGAGTAAACTGAAGCTTTTAAGCCTCCCTTGAGGGGCGTTTGATTTTCACGCCCTTGTAGCTTTTATGGGTTGTCACTCGTCCTTTATCCGTGCTCATTGTTCACCACCCGTCTGTTGATTTATCTGCCCCCCCCCCACCCCCCGCATGCAGACATTAAACGGATAGTTGACTTTTTCAAGAATTGCTTTACCTCTGACGTACCACCTGCTTTTATTTTAAAAACATTTGTTGGTCACCTGACCCGTTTTGTGTTCAGTTCAGCCTTAATTACTCTATGTACTGTTCACACTACAAGCTGTTACACACAAGAGTCATTAATAACGAACACATCATGTTTAATTAGGAAAGTAGATTAAAAACATGCACAAAGGGCAACTACTTACAGCATACTGCCATTAGAAACTGAGTACAGTTAGCTCATTAGCCTAATTATTGAGCGTCAGTAATCCATACACACATTAATAAATCATTAATCAGACTATTAACTAACAGCCGTCAGCGTCAGTTCACATTATCAGCCTTCAGCAGTCAGCTAGTGTTTCTGTAGTGGAGACTAAACGTTAACAATGATCCATATCAGCAGTTTGAATCCAACTAAAAGCTCCCTGCACCAAACTCCCTTTAAGAAATATCACATTTTAACAATTCCTAACGTGTTCGTAACAACACGTAACTCTAGAAACACGAGCTAAAGGCCGTCATGTGTCCACAGTCTGACTGTTAATACAGGATCGATACTATCAATAAAGATAAATTATATTCTGCACAAACTTTACATTTTGTCGCCTCCGTTGCAGCTGCGCTCAGGAAAAACATTTATGAGTTAGTGTTATTAATTAGTAGAAGTCGGCAGTACAATATCAACTAAAATCTGTTAGCTGCAAAGACTTTGGAGGAGATTTCTGTATTTCTATATTTACTTTCTATCAGACTTCCTGTGTGTCGTCATCTTTACAGTATCTAACCCAAACTGACGTCATCAGAAAGCGTTGAACCCGTTGTTATCAGACCGTGTTCATCGCTGTGGGTCGAGGGCAGGCAGCAGGGCTGTTTTTAATCAGCTCTTTCTGGGAGACAAACCCCCCCCGCCCCCCCGGCACCAGACCCGGCCCGGCTCGGCCCTCAGCGCTGTGATGTCATCCAGGAGGCATACCTGCTTCAAAACAAACTGCCTGCTTCGACCTCCGACCCCCTGAATCCCCCACATATGGGTGGGTGTCCTCGGTGTTTACGATAGGGGCAGATAAGAGGCTGTGGAATGTTTTTGGGGAGGGGGTTGGTGGAGGTAGCTGATGAGTGATGGGGGCGATGAACTTTCCCTCCACAGGTTGTCTGGATTAAAGAGACCTGGGGGGGGGGGGTAAACAGAGTGAGGTTTCCTGTTTCCAGGAGTCGTATCTGTGCGAGCAGATGACAGGTTTTTATCTCTGGACTTCAGCATGATGACGAGATGTAAACAGACAGGCAGAAACTCCTCGCTGGTACTTTATAACTCAGATTCCAGTCTAAGAAAAACATAACAATTCTTATTTTCAGGTGATTTTATACTAATAAAAACATACCTGTGAATATCATATTACATTTCTGACAATAGATCTACTTAAATGTTACACACTGAACCTTTAACTGTATATAAAGTTCAAACAAACTTTGCCTAAGTTTTAAGTCAAACTTTTTTTATAATCTTGTGTTGAGGTAATTTACTTTTTGTTTTCTGTGAGCTGCGAACCAGATTTTTCATTATTTGGGTGCTTTAAAATTAAATATTTTGCAAGTTAGTATATTACAATTATTAACCTTTTTTCAATTTTAACAATAAAAAAAATCAGATTTTTTTTTGTTTCTAACATTTAAAGATTTAAGTTTTTCTAAATAAGTAAATAAGCATAAATTATCGTTAGTATAAGACAAAACTTTAGTTTCACTCATAAATGTAATGAAGACAGCTGCCTTGAAATGTTTTTTACAGTCTAATATAATATTTTATACTATAACTATAATAATTTGGGGGTTTTCGGCGGTGCTCGCTCTATCCAGTGATCTTACTTTCTATACTTTAAGTACATTTTGCTGTTAATACTAGTTGTATTTTGATTTTGTGGTATCTACATCAACTGTAAAAACAATAAATTATTAACTGTTGATCACTGATGACGGACATTTTAGTGCAAATTGTTTCATATTCTACATATTTTGCTTTAAAAACGCACAGCAACCGCCATCTAATGGTTGAAACCGACTGTTGCAACTGAATACAGGTAGCACACAGAAACTTTTTGTCATGAATGTGCTTCTAGTGACTAAAAGTAAAAGCTCCAGTCTGACAGCAGCTGCTCATGGCACTTTAATATTGTGCCACACATTGTGGGAACTATATCAAAGATTTCTGCCCCGGCTTGAACCAGAATACTTTCCCAGCTTCTCTGGTCGCAGGAAAACTTTAAGGCCGCTCACCTCTTCACCTTTATGCTTCATTCATTCAGTCATATTTGGACAAAATAAAGCTTCAATCAGATATAAAGTTTGTTTTCTTTGGTCTTCGGGCCGCGCAGACAAACAAGCCCTCGCTGTGTTTTTTGGGGGATTTTGGTTTATTTAGATTCAGGATGCAGTTTTTTCTTGCAGATTCACGTTGGTCCTCCAGTTAAAATCAAACAAACCTGCAGAGTTCCCAGACATCAGGGATCTGCTGGAAATGAGCTGCAGCCCATTTGTGCTCCGCATGGGGGACGGACGCCCCCAATGCAGCCATAACAGGGTGATTACTGTCTGCTCGGTGTCTCTGGGGGGGTTCGCTGGACTTCTGCTGTCTGACTGCTTGTTGGTCACTGCTGGATCCACTACAGCAAAAACAGCCTGCGAGAAACAAATATTCTTAAATATAATAACATAAATGATAGGAATTAATTCTATAATTCTTAAAACTAGCATTAAAATTTAACACTGAAAGACTGTAAAATGCTTTAAACTACAAGAACGTTTTAAGCAAGTTGTGCTTATTACAAGCAATGAAAACTCAAATGAAGGAACCAGAAACATTATTATTTTAATATTTCTTATTAAAACAATGAAAAACTAAACAGCTGGTTAATTTCCT